AAAAAACAATGGAATCTTGAAATTTGCAGGAAAATGGATGGAACTTGAAGAAACCATTCTGATCAAGGTAACCCAATCACAAAAAGATAAACATGATGTGTACTCACTCATATGTGGACCTGCTTTATGATACATAGTAGTGACCGTGCTTTATCAGAGCTGTTTTTAATGATGTTGCTCAGAATGGTTTCCTCCCAGATGATGATTGAGAAGCTAACTTAACAAAAAACATAGTGCCAAGTACCCCAAGAGTAACAGAATTGTGCTGTTTTCTGGGATTTTGTTTTATACTTTCTTGTTGTTGTTTGGATTTTTGGTTTGTTTTTTTGTTTTTTTTTTAAATGGAGTGTACTGGATGTCTCTACAATTTTGTTCAAATGACTGAAGAACCTGGATAAGCTGTTGCTGCTATTGATGCACAACATACTGCTATTATTGGTCTTTTTATATAAATATAAATATATGTATATACATACATAATTTGAATATATAATTTGAATTTTTGGAAACTTTAGCTGTGCTGTCAACTTTGGAAATAAGTATCCCAGCTTACCTGTGTTGAGTTGGCATAGTACAGAAATTAACAACCATATTGGTCTAGAAATGTTGAACTTAATTTTTTTCCATTTGTGCAGGGGTAACTCAGTGTATTAAATATGTAACTTCTTATCTATGTGGGTTTGATTACAAAAACTAATAAATTATTCTCAAACAAAGAACATAAACACCAAACACTGAAGATGTACGTTACTGGTAGTCTTTGCTTAGTGTCCACAAGGTCCTAGCTTAATCCCCAGAACTTCATATGTTCACGCGTGTGTGTGTGTCACCTGTAGGTTTGCTCTAGACCACTCAGTACTCACAGTTCTATGAGATGGTGGTGTTGTTACCCCTATGTACAAATGGGGAAACAGATTTGGGGGTTAAATGACTTACTTAGTGATCTACCTACAGACAGCAGAGGAACCAGAGCTCAGAGCCATCTGGCTGAAGTCTGTGGTTTCCTCAGCCCTGCACTAGGTCTGCATTCAGCAGTTGAACAGAACTGGTATTCACTTATGTCTTCCTCTCCCTCTTCTAGAGTTCAGTTTCCTGTGGCTGGTTCCTACCACTGTCCCAACATAGGACTTCGCTTTGTGGTGACAAGGGCAGTGACAATCAAGATTGAATTCTGTGCCTGGAGCCAATACCTGAATGAAACTCCCTTGCTGCACAGTCATATGGTGGCTGGGCCTCTGTTTGACATCAAGGCTGATCAGGAAGCTGTGGCTACTGTGTACCTCCCTCATTTTGTGACTCTCCAAGGTAACCAAGGGAAGGATAGGGAGGAGTTGACAGGTCATATAGCAGACTGTAGGATGATGGTGATGAGGAAAGGTCTATGATGTCCTAGGTGAGGCAGAGCGGGTTATGGAGGTGGACACTGAGATGTTTTGTCATCCCTTCTTGTTTGATGTATCTTCTTGAAGAACAGAGCTCCTGGTCTCCGCAATGACTCTTGCCCCAGTCACTGCTCAAGCTTCTTCCCTGCAGGTCACCACCTTGCCTTTTTCTCACTCCCACTGTCAGATCAGACAGTTGCTCCACTGGAATATTTAAAGAAGATGATAATGTTACAGTGCATGGAAGCAGCAATACATGCAGGCAGGACAGCCACAGGGCCAGGTGGTAGCACAGACATGGAATGTCAGAATTCAGGAAGTAAAGGCAGGAGAATTATGATTTATATCAACAAATATGTAGTAGGGTCCTGTATCAAAAACCTAAAATGACAAAGAAATGAAAGAACTTGGTATTTTAAATGTTTCTGTAAACATCTGCTATTAACAATGAAAATCCAGCACCCCACATTCCCCTCAAGTCCTGGGAAGGTCATGACTAGCATTTACCCTTGCAAGAAGGGAAGATGGACAGGTACAACATCTTCCTAGATTTTGTCAAAATTGGCAAAGCACAAAGAATGGATAAGTGTCAGGATCTGGAGTTGGGGCTGAATCTGACTTAGGGAAAAGCAGGGTTTCAAGTCCCCAAACAGGCACACAGGAGACATTTTAGTGCTGGGAGCTCCATCTGAAACTATATAATAACTCGCATCACTGACTGAAATTTCAAGCTGTACCACTTCCTGGAGTAGCAAGTTCATTGTCTTGTTCTTTGCTGCTTTTTGATTCCAAAGCAATCACCCAAGAGAAATAGAAATGTTCTCTGCTAAAAGACATACACTGTGACACTGTCTTCCATGGTGCAAGTTGGAAGCAAACTCACTGCTGAAAGACCAGGGAAAGGGTGGATTGCAGAGTGGTGCCTCCATTAGCAGGGATCACATCAAGCTGACAAGTGACATTCAACATGACCATTCTACCCATTGTCAACTTGACACCCAAGCACATTGATTTACATCCTAACTTTCTACCTTGTGTCTCTAAAGTTTCAATTTGGGATCATAATGAAAAATAAAATCCAATTTCAAAGATCCCCAAAGCCTTTAATAATTCCAACAGTTTTAAAATCCATAAAGACCACCACTTATCTGAGATTCAAGGCAATGTCTTCACTATGAGCTCCTAATAAATAAAAAACAAGTTGCATACTTTCAACATACAATGACACAGAATAAACATTGCCATTCAAAAATCAAGCAATCAGGACATACCAAGGACTGATCAAACCACAGCAAGACAAAACTCCATCAGCATGAACACCAAATCCTACAGCTTCATGTCCAGCCATGCTGCTCTTGACATTATTCACAGAGGTCCAAAGGTAGATCCACCCCTCCAGTTCTACCACATGAAGCAAACATAGCCTCTTTCTTGGGCTGTACTTCTACTCTTTAACTACAACTTCCTTCAGTAGAAAAGAAAATATGTGGTTTTGGATTCTCCATTATCCAGAATTTCCATTCCATCTTAGGCTTCATTTTCAAAGGTTCAGAGATGACCTCCTTGCAGGATCTTTGACTAAGGCACACTGCCTCACCTTAGCTGCTACCTGCAACTGTGAAGCATGATTCAGTGACCCATCAATCTAGCATCTGTCATGCCTAAAAACTATAATGAGGATACTGTCAAGTTCTGTTGACAACTTGAGATGTGGCCTGGCCCTGCTGCCTTGGACAGCAGCTGTAAGATGTGCTGACCATGAGGAAACGCTTCCTCGGGTATTTACATTTGTGGAACGGGAAATACCATCACTTCAGGCTTTCTGCTTTTAACTCAGTTTGGATCATCACAAGATTAAGCCTATGAAGAATGAGATTTTGCCCTCAGGACACCTTTCCTATTGCCACAGTGCAGTGCAACTTTCCCTTCGGTGATGCTGATCTCTAACAATTACAGCTGAATTTTTTTTAACCAGAGTGAATGTTTCCTGTCTTGGAACTTTTCCTGCCAAAATTAGTCCCTTTTTTCCTTTAAATTCAACTTAACTCACAGCCACGACATTTACACAATGAAATTAGATTGTTAGCCAAGCTGTCACAAGAATAGATCCTTTTACCGTTCCCAGTGGAAACCTGGTACTCTCTGAAAGTGTCATGAACTGGCCTCCACTGATGCTCTCAGCATTCTTGTCTTCCCTGCTTCCACCAGAATGTTCCCATGATCTCTGCTCTCAGCATAGAAGGGCTTTTCTAGTTCTAAATACCAAACTCTTCCACATTCCAGCCGAGAAACACTTACAAAGGCCTAAGACCCACATGATCAGGTTTATTATAGCAACGACCCAACTCCTGGTATAAATTTTCTATTCACGTTACTTTAATTGTAGCTCAAATGAAATACCTGACCAAAGAAACTTAAGAGAGAAAAGATTTATTTCACCTCACAGTTCAAAGAAACAGTTCATCATGGCATGGAAGTACGAACATGGGGCTTACAGTGCCTGGTAACCTTGTGTCAACAGAGGGAGCAAAGAACAGAGAAAGTTTGTGCTCATGTGACCTCCACCTTACACAGATCTGAATCCTAGTACATGGATTGCACAAAGTAGCTCCTCAAAAATCATTAACCCAATCAAGATAATCACCTTCTATCATCCAAGGTGAATACAGATTTCATTGAGATCACATTTGACATTAACCATACCATGGATGCATCCAGCATTGTCTTCAGTGAACAAAGATAGGTATCCTGGGGTCTCTTTCATAACACCAAACTCCATTCTGCAACAAACATATTAGTGTAAACTGTCAATCCCAAGATACCAAGACTGGTGATGGCTACACCTCACTTACATTAGCCTCTGAGGCTATGTTCTTTATAGCATCATGGATGAGACCATCAAGAACCTCCAGTCTTTTGTGAATGCTCTCCCAGCAGCTAGACTGGTCTAAAGCCAAAACTGCTCCAATGAGGGGGAGTGAGCATGAGTCACCACTGGCAGCCTGTCACAGTCACCTCCCCAGGGAATTAATGGTGAGGAAATGGTCAATTGGTCTGCTGTGTTCTCACTGGGAATTATAAATAAAACTTAAGATTTTTGGTTCTCTGGTTTTCTCATAACCATCAAAACATAAGTTAAAGCTAAAAAAAATCATGACCAAGGAACTTACAGAAGAAATATTTTATTGGGGCTTCCAGATTTCGAGGGTAAGTTCAGACCGTCCTGGCAAGGAGCATGGCAGGGAGCAGGCAGGCTTATCACTGGAGCAGTAGCTGAGAGCTTACATCTTTATCTGCAAGGAGGAGAGAGAAAGGAAAATGAAAACAGCACAAGATTTTGAAACCTTGAAGCCACCTTCAGTGACACACTTCCTAGAAAAAAGCCACACCTCCTACTTCTTCCCAAACAGTCCCACCAACTACGGTGGCCATTCCCATTCAAAGCTCCATAGTCATTCTAAATCCTAGGGGGCTATTTTTCCAGCCAAGCATAGATCAATGGAAACACTAAATCTTCATCTTTGAATCTGTTCTCTTACAGAGGGACAGGTGGACATCTCCTTGTTCCAGGTGGCTCACTTTCAAGAACATGGGATGATCCTAGAAACTCCAGCCAGGGTGGAGCAGCACTACGCAGTACTGGAAAACCCAAGCTTCTCCCCAGTGGGAGTTCTAGTGAGAATGATCCCTGCTGTAGGACACTTCATCCCCATCACTTCCATCACACTGATCTACTATCCTCTCAATCTCAAGGATGTCACCCTTCATCTCTACCTGATCCCCAATGACTGCACCATTCGGAAGGTGACACTGAGGACCACAAAAGTAGGGCCAGGGTGGGCTGGCAGAAATCCTGACATGCAGCTAGTGAGCCCCTTGGAGAGTTTCCCCACTTGGAGTGGTTAAGCAGTTCTATAAAGAGAACACTGGTGTTTATGATTCTGCATTCTTCCTCCCCCCTGACACCAGAGTCTCCCCCAACTGCTTTTAATGTCTCTTTATCTCTACACAGTGTTCTACAGCCTCTTTCTGCCAATCAGAAGGATGGGATGTCCAACATATAGCCAAATCCCTTCCTTCTATGACAGGGACTCTGTTCCCACAATGAACAATAAAAAGGCCAATTTCTAGCAGCCTGTGTGGCAGAGCACAAGGCAGAAGGTGCCCAGTAGGAGTCACAACCCCATCCCCACAAATGTACTGATGGACCACCTCACCTTATTCAGACCAGATGTTTAGATCATAAATCTACCTAAACCCTGTTTGTGATGTTCTCTAGGCCATTGATGAGGAAGAGATGAAGTTTTGGTTTGTTCGAATACACAAGCCACCCCCAGTAGACTCTCTTTATATTGGTTCACGCTACATTGTGTCTGCTTCCAAGAGGCTGAAAATCATCCCAAAGGTGAGCATCCAGGTGTTTGCTACTCTTCAGGGTCAGATGTCAGGCTTGGGAAACCTGTGGGGTAGATACAGGGATTTGCAGCAAACTGAGATTGGGGAGCAAACTATTGGGATTTGGGGTGAGTAAAAAATACATCCTAGTTAGGTGGAAAGCAATTTAAGGAACCACACAGGAATATAGATGGCCGGGGGAGTTGAGGAATTAGACTCAATTTGGAAGAGAGAGAGGACCAAACTAACATGGACAGCAAGCCGTGGCTGAAGATGCATGAGCAGGACCTTCAGGATGAGCTCTCCCTCTTCATGGTTTGAATCTGAAATGTCTCCCGCAGGTGTAAATGTTAAGCACTTGAACCCAAGTTAATGACACTATTCAGGGAGTTGTGGAAACAAATATGTGAGGCCTGGCAAACAGAGGCAGAGCACTAGTGATAGGCCTTGAGGATTAAATCCATACCCTGCTCCCCACTCAGACTTGGATTCCTGATCCTCTGGGATAAAACATGCTGTGCTACAAACTGCTGCCACCAAGAATGAAGCCCCCACCATAAAACTAAACAACATAAACCCTTCCTTAGTTGGTTCTTGTCAATTTTTTCTCAGGGTTATAGGAAAGAAGCAGCATGGTGGGGGTCCCTCCAGGTCCATAAGCATTCTCTGTATCTTCTGCTGCTACATTCTCTCCAACTCTTCTTCCACAATGTCCCAACCTTTTGAGTAAAGTTGTGCATTCAAAAGCTGTGGGTTACCTCAGTGCAAAAGACAGCCAGTGTCTAATATGGTGTGAAAGAGCAAGAAAGTATGGGGGTGTGGAAAGCACCTGTTCACATGAGTAGAGGCTTCTCATACAATTTCCCTCTCCCTGTCCCTGTCCCTGTCCCTCCCTCTCCCCCTCCCCCTTCTCCCCCTCTATGTCCAGGAACTAGAGCTGTGCTACAGGAGCCCTGGGGAATCCCAGCTCTTCTCTGAGATCCACGTTGGTCACATGGGTTCAGAAATTAATCTGCAAATCCGAGACAAGAAGCATAGGAATCTCATATGGGAAGCCTTGGTGAAACCAGGTAAAATTAGTTTAGGTCCAGATACCCCAAAGGTTGAAGAAAGGCAATGAGTAGGGAAAGGTGAGTTGTCATCAATTCTTGGTGTCATGAAATAGATTAGTTATGTGGGTTTTTCTAAACAGGTGGTTAGAGTTAGAGTGAGAGCAAGGGGGAGGAGAGGAGCCGAAAAAGATGAAGAGAAGAGAAGAGAAGAGAAGAGAAGAGAAGAGAAGAGAAGAGAAGAGAAGAGAAGAGAAGAGAAGAGAAGGTGGGGCAGAGGAGAGGAGGGGGAGAAAAGAGGAAAAAAAGGAGAAGGAAGAGGCAGGAAGCCCATGCAAGATATTCCTTATAGGACAGGCCTCCTGTGATCCAATTTCTCCAACTGAACACTCATATGGTTTCCAATACCATTCTCAGGACTCATGCAATTATGAGTGCACTAGTGTATGTGTTCATTCATAAAATCACAGTCCTCATATCCAGTCACCTCTACAGGACTAATCCTTCAAGACATGATCATTCATCAGGGAAAATATCCCATACAAACCACAGCATACCCTAAGCCCCATTTTCTCAGTCACATATCCTGATTTCTTTTCCCAATGCCCTAGAAATGACAGAACAGTACAGTCTTAGTCGAGCAACCACAATGCCAAAACCAACTTCCCCTTCTCAGAATATCTGGGGATGCCCAACTCTAGTCATCTGTCAAATAGTGGTGGTTCCTACTCCTGAGCTTCTAGAAACAGGCTACACATGTGGTTAAATAATAGGCTTTGCTCAGCCTTGGTTTAAGTGAGCCACAGGTGGAGAACTGGACTGCCCCAGCATCAGGCCAGGGTTTAAATCTCACTCCAGCATTTACACTTCACGCAATCTTGGATAATGACTTAACTCATTTGAGTCTTACCTTCTTCAAATGTAAACTGAAGATCAGAATGAATAACTGGTAGGATGATTGGGAAGGTTAAATACTGTTCATACCCACCTCATAGTGCAATCCATAGCTTAGGGGCAATGTTGCAATTTTTCTTTATGTAGCCAATATCTCCCTCATGATTTTATTAATTCTATTCTTTGAGAGTCTTTAAGATCTATTCCCTTCCATATGGGCAAGTATTCAAATACAGAAGATTATAATCATGCCACTCTTTTTCCCCAATCTTACATTTTGATTTTTAAATTCATTGTCACTCGATCTCTTTCTTCATTAGATGCTCCAATTTATCTACAAGTATGAATACATTAAGATGGTCCAGATAACATGGAGTGTAAGAAATATTATCCTTCCTTCATACAAATGGAACCAGGGCTTCTAGTACTATAAACTGGGTCCTTAGGATAACATCCTAAACTGTGACAGCACAGTGAATTTAGAGTCTTTTCAAACATTTCTGGCTTATCCATGAGCTGAAATTTACTAATATCCTTCACTTAATGCTAAAATGCACTCACTGTTCCCGTGATCTCAGTCTTGTTTCATCTTGATTCTGCTTCCAAATCGAGAACACATATTTGTGGCATGTGGGTATACAGGGTCAAACAAAGACAAGAAAATGGTTTGCAACCCAGAATCAAATGTCAAATGACTTAAACCAATAAGGGACTTGTGTAAGAGGAGGATAACAGAACACAGAATAGGGATGTCTTTGATTAATTTTATTGCAGGGAAATCACTTACATGAGAAACCGATAACCCAGGTCAGTGCTCCGAGCATCCAGTCTCATCAGCTCTCAGAGACCCGACCAGAACCCCGAGAGAGATCCATGCTTCCTCTTCCCAGGCCTATATCTCACATGCCCTTTACACACCTGTTGCCACACCCATATGGGTGTGGTTAGCACCCCAGTACCTAGAAATATCTCTCCCTACAATTCCCCTTTTAGTCTAAAGAAAAGATTCAGACTTGCTACAAAACTATATACAAAGATGGCAAAATTCAAGTATGTGCTAGGAAAAGGAAAAGCATGAACATACGCCCTCAAGTTCTGAAACCAGTAAAACAACAAGAGCAAATGGCAAGAACTACATATCTAGTCCTAGGATAAAGGCATAACAGAGATTGCAATAGATCTGTACTAAGCTGGAAAGTTTCAGTCTTGTATCTAACATTTCTATCTAGGGAGAGAAAACAATGATTGTGACAGTCTAATCTTCAACTTCATCAAAGTCCTGAGAAGGATAGCAATACTAGAGTAGGCAGGAAGCACAAGTGAGCAACTTCCAAAGGTGCAGTGAAGACAGAAACAGTAGGCTATCTGGACAGTCACCCAAAGTCTCACAGCAGCATAGGGGTGACCAGCTTTGGCTAAGGCCTGGAGTATCTGACTGACCAAGACAGAAGCAGGGAGGTAGAAAGGCTTTCTTACCCTGACTTGGCAAGGTCAGCAGTCTTCTAAGTTTATCTCCTGCAAGCACACTAGGAGAGCATGTCCAAAGTCAGCAGTCAAAATGGGGGCAATTCTTTGCCCAAGAGGCCACTAGCCGATGAGAGAATGGACTCCAGAAGGAGTGACATCGGTGCCCAACATTTTCTCAGGAATAGCTTGGTGATGTCAGGAGCAAATGTGTCTCATGTCAATAGCATACTAATATTAAAACATTTAAATGCCATTGTCTGCAGGTCTATGAAGTGTTTGAAGATCAAAATCTATGTCTGGCTAATCTCATAGATATAAGAATGTGGGTGAAAATATCTTAATTCTCAGAAACCTAGTTGTACAAAGGCTTAGCTTCCTAAATAACTTAGCAAGGACCAAGATTTCAGCAATATAACTATATATGCATATATATGTGAATCTCTAAAACAGAGGTAATTGAAGTGTCTTAAGCTGAGATAGAACTGTACAGTGCAATATGATAGAAATATATTAAATTGTGTCAATATACAAAATATCTTAAACATACAAGTGGGTGGCCATGTATAGGAGAATGCTGCTGAGCTGGGAAACCCCTGCAACTCAGAGGACTCCAGGGGTGTGGAGCTAGAGCCAGCAGTTGCTGCAGCAGTGAGTGCTGTCCTCGCAGAGAAAAGGCTAGGTGAACTTATCTCCCCATGTCCAGTGAATTTCCAACTTCTGACACCAGAATGTAAGAGGAAGATAACCATACACGGAATATAGATGTCTTTGGTTAATTTTATTATGGAGAAATCACTTACAAGAGAAACTGATAACCTAGGTCAGCACTCTGAGCATCCAGTCTCAGCAGCTCTCTGAGACCCAACCAGGTCCCTGAGAGACACCGGCACTTCCTCTCCCCAGGCCTATATCCCACACGCCCTGTACACACCTGTGGCCATGCCCAAATGGATGTGGTCAATACCCCAGGTACCTAGTAAGATCTTTCCCTACAGACTTGATTAGTTCTCCACAGGAAATTCAGTCTTGGATAAAATTGAGGCTGTGATCACATGGGACAAATGTCTATTGCTCACTCACATGTGTTCTATCTCAGTGATGATAGGCCTGCTGCTAAGATTCCCTGTTAGTAAGAAAATGTCTGTAGGGGAAGCTGTAGCCACGCCTTCTTAGGGGCTGGCTACAGGTCTGCCTGACCATGCTTGTGAGGGTGTGGTCAGAGTGACCACGCAGTGTGACTGCGTTTGCGCTTTCGGTTTCTCTTTGCTTCTTGCGGTACAGGCTGCTGCCACCGGCTGGCTAGGTCGCTCTGTAAGTAAGGCTTATCCCTATTAAATACCCTTATATTTCTACCTAACTCCGTATTGGTAATTTCCCACTATAAATGTCCACCTTCATGATTGTATCAGAATTTTTGTAGCTCATTCTCAAAATCTCAGGAACAGGAGAGGGTGAGTCACAAAGATACTGAGTGTTGGTGACAGGCATAATTACAGATGCATTATCTCTCCTTTCTTCCAGGGGACCTCAGTCCTGCACCACCCGTGACCCCTGTAGCCCACAAAGGTAACTAACAACAATATGAGGACAGAGAAGCCAATAGTATTCTTCTGGTAGATCATCAGATCCCTGAGAGAGAAGGGCAGTGAGAAACGAGGGAGCCTCACTTTGCAAACCTCACAAGGACAGGTAGAAGAGTTGCATGCCCAGGGCAGAGTTCCTCTCATTCCCCTTGCTGTATGTAACCTATGTTGACAATAAATCCACCCACTCCCAAACAGAACACCCTAACAAGAACACCTCCTCCTGGTTAGGCAGTCTGTCAGACTAATAGCTGGCCTCAGGAAGGGTGCAGATATTTTTTTCATATGGCCTTCCAGAGGAAGAAGGGAGCCAAGGTGCAGATGAGATGCCTGAATAGAGCAAGAAGTGGGTAGGCAGTGGGAGACCTGGAGGAGCTTTTCTTTGCAGTGCCAGTCTCATCTTCACCCCTAGATGCTCCTGCCTCACTACACTTCCTAGACCAGCATCGGGAGCAGCTGGTGGCCCGAGTGACATCAGTGGACCCTCTCTTGGACAAGCTGCATAGTCTGGTGCTGAGTGAAGAGGAGTATGAGGCAGTGCGGGCTGAAGCCACCACCCAAGACAAGATGAGGAAGCTCTTCAGCTTCAGCCGGTCCTGGACCAGGACCTGCAAAGACCAAGTCTACCAAGCTCTGAACGAGATCCATCCTCACCTGATCATGGACCTCCTGAAAAAGTCTCGCAGGGTCTCTGTGTGATCCTGACATCTTAGTGGCTGAGGAGTGAGCACTCTTCCTTGAGTCCTGGCTCTGCCTCACCTTCCTTTGGCCCTAAGTTTAAATCTATAAACCAATGAACATCTGAGTTGCCTTTCTGAGGGCATTGTTTCGAGAACACTTCTTGGGGACCCAGATGTTCCCTCTTGGCCTTCCCCAGCCAGATTTTCTTGTGGGAAGAGCATCTCAGAAAACTTCCCATTGGAGCCAGCAAGTGTATTCAGGCCTTGTTCAACCTAACTTTTCTGGCAGAGTGGCCTGTGGAGAGACATCTTACTAGATACCTGTGTCACTGACTACACGGCCACAGGTACCTACTGGGCATGTGGAATTTAGGCCTAAGAAAAGGACAGGCACTGTCTCTTGGGTTCCAGTCAGATCTCAGAGGGCAGCTGAGATTGGATGCTCGGAGTATAGACCCTGGGTTATCGGTTAGTGATTTCTCCCCAATAAGTTAATGTACATCACCCCCATCCCATGTATGGTAATCTTATTCCAACATTCTAGTGTCAGGAAGTGGCCATTCTCAAAACCACCCGATACAAGCAGGACTGGGGCACTTGGGAATGGAAACAATGAGATGATACTTTCCATGGAAACTGAATGTCTTATAAATAGGAAAGGAAAAGGGCTTCTCAAACATTCCCCAACCTCAGTGTGGGTTTTCTTTTTCATTCTATTTCCATTTTCAGGTCTTGAACAGCTCTGTTTTTCCTTCCAGTGTTTATTTTTCTTCTTCTTCGTTTCTCTAAGGGATTTCTGCATTTCCTCCTTGAGGGCCTCTATCTTGTTCATACAGTGTTTTAAGTTCTTTTTCTTGTGCTTTGACTGCGTTGGACTTTTCAGGACCTGCTATGGGCTCTAGTGGAGACATATACACAAGGTTATTGCTTATTGTGTTTTTATGCTAGCATCTAGTCACCTAGAATTAGAATGATTATAGGTCTAAGTGCTGTTTTCTAATTTTTTTTGTTTGGGTGTGTACTTTGTTCTTTGGTTTCTGTTTCTTCTCTGGATTTTAGGAGAGTCAATGGCTGTTTGTTGCTTGGTAGGAAATTTTATGGTTATAGCCCTGATATGGTTTGGCCCCTGGCACTTCCCAGTAAAATGTATTTCTGATCATTGGAAACTGACAGGTAGGAATGTGGATAGGCTAAGAGTCTGAGGGAGTTCACAGGGGGGAGGCGATCAGAGTGCTCAAGAGGATCTGCTAATTTAGTCCCCTTGAAATGAGGAAAGGGACAGTGAAGAGAGGTCACCACAGAAGGTCTGCTGTAGCACTGGGGATGAGACTGGTGGATTGGAACTAGAAGAGCAAAAGGGAAAAGGAAAATCTGTAGACAGCCTACCTGATTTCCTGGCAGGAATAGCCTATGGGTTATCAGGGGGTGGTGGTTAATGTCTTTAATTCCAGCACTTGGGAAGTAGAGTCAGGTGGATCTCTGTGAGTTCAAGGTCAGCCTGGTCTACAAAGTAAATTCCAGGAATTTCAGTACTGTTACACAGAGAAACCCTGTGGAAAGAAAGAGAGGTGGGGAAAAAGGGAAGGAGGGAGGGAGGGAGGAAGAGAAAGAAGAAGAAAGGAAGGAAGGAAGGAAGGAAGGAAGGAAGGAAGGAAGGAAGGAAGGAAGGAAGGAAGGAAGGAAAATGAACTTATGTACAATTTTAAACGGGGAGGGGGGCAAACAGAAGGCTCTGTGATTAAGAGCACTTGCAGATATTTAGAGTTCTATTTCTAACACCCACATCAAACTGATGCACATTCAAACACACACACACACACACACACACACACACACACACACACACACACACAGACACACAGTTTTTTCCACACATTTTTTTTTAATTTTTATAAAAACAATGACAAAATGGGATCCTTTCCTGATCATCCATCTGCCAGAGTAGGACCTGGGAATCAAGCTGTGTGTTTGCCACAAGGAGAGGCCTGCCAGTCTCTTCCCCTAGGCCACCTGGCTTCCCTCTGGATCAAGCTTCTGTTCCCCTCCCTGCCAGGCCCATGGCCAGAATTGTTAGCCTGGTTTCTTGGTGCCTCCCATCTTGTCCTCTGGACTCTGCAGGTGTGCTAGCTCTGCCTGTGTGAATTTCTGGAGCTCTCCCTCTCTCTCTGTCTCAGAACACAGTATTTTCCTTATTCTAACTCCAGCCCTTCACCACGCCACAGGCAGGCAGCTTCTCCCCAAACTTCCCACCTTGTATTCTCCAGTTGACAAGAGATAATTCCAAGTTTTGACCTCCCTTTCTGCTATATTGACTTCATTAGGAGTTTAGAAATAAAACTAAACAAAGTAAGTGTTACAAGCCAAGGCAAGGTTATTAAATGTGTACAACAGATATAACACCCTGGGTTTATTTGAAAATAACAGAAAATGTGAAAATATCATGTTGTAAAATATTAGTGGAAGACATATTACATTTGTTTATGCTGTAGAACATTTGTTTTAATGATGCAAAGATGTGTTGCATTCTTTTATGTTGTATTTGTTTAACTCTGAAACTGTGTTATTTTGCCTGTCTAAAACACCTGAATGGTCTGATAAACATCTTAATGGCTGATAGCAAGGCAGGAGAAAGGATAGGTGTGGCTGGCAGGCAGGAGAATAAATAGGAGGAGAAATCTGGCAAGAAGGATAAAAGAGAAAGGAGCCTGCAATCCCAAAAGAGGCAGGCAGATCTCAATGAGTTCCAGAACTACCTGGTCTACAAAGTGAGTTCCAGGACAGCCAGTACTATTACACAGAGAAACCCTGTCTCACAAAAAGAGAGAGAGAGAGAGATAGACAGAGAAAGAGAGAGGGGGAGGGAGAGGGAGAAGATAAAGGAGAAGGAAAAGGGGCCCCAGGGGCCATCTACCCAGCTACACAGCAAGCCACAGAGTAGGAAGTAAAGAAGTAAAGATATACAGACATAGAGAAAGGTAAAAGCCAGAGGCAAAAGGTAGACTGGATAACCTAAGAAACGCCGGCTAGAAACAAGGCAATCTAAGGCCAGACATTGATAAGTAAGCTTTTCTGTTATTTATTTGGAAGCTGGGTGGTAGGGCCCCCAGAAAGAGCCATGAGAGCTAAGAGTAAAAACAACCAACAACAATATCAATTTGTGAATATAAAGGTCAGTCTGAGCTTCTTAAAATTCATAAAAATAAAATATATTTGGGTCTACTAAGTTTGATATCAAGAGTTATTGTTGTTTCAAAATAAGTTTACATCACTTATTCCTGGCTGCTTACAGGAATGTAGGTCACTGAGTGCTGTAAGTAACCCATGTCTGCTTACTGGTGCCCTTAGGATGTTCTGAGAAATAAGCCAGGACAGGACAGACTCGATGTCCAGCAGCAAATCCACACTGACACAGTCCCCTTAACTGAAGTTTTCAACTTGGCTCCTCCAGAGGACAAGTCACCTGAACAGTGGTCAAATTTTGTTGATTCCGTCAGATACGGGCACATTCAAAGGGAAAATAGCTGAGAACAGAATATCTCAATATTAATTTTCCTTCCAAGAAATGTTCTGGGGCCTCTTCTGTGCTGGGGTCTCAAGAAGCGATTTGTGCAGCCTGCATAGCTGTGGTCATTTTAGTGCAAACACAGTGTGGTGTCACCAAGAGACTCCTGACTCTGCAGTAAGAGTCAGATCTTTAATAAGTCCCAAGGGACAATAAGTTTTTACAAATGGTGACATTAAAGTCCACTTTCATCCAACACGAGCCAATGGTTTGGAAGAAATACAATTTACACAATGAAAACAAAGGAGTTTTTGACTAGTTTACATCTTTCGTGTTAATGATAATTGAACACAATTATGACAGTGAAACTTCTAAAAACTGAACTTTAAGATGATTAAGGGTTTGTCATTTTTAAATGTTCTAAAGTTAGTCTCTCACATTTGGGAAACTTATTTGACATTAGGTTGTAAAATGAAACTATTTACTTAAGTGGCTGTCTGCTGGAGAAACAGGTTTTTTTTTTCCTATACATATCCATTAATGAACACTGCATTGCGTCAAGTTATCCAGCCCTACAGAAAAACTGCAACCCAAAGAGGTTAACTACAACCAGAAAAACATAGGCAATAGATAATCCCAACTTACCAACAGCCAAAAGGAAAAAGGGACAGAATCCCACACATAATCTCACCACCATCACCAAATCAAAAACAAACAAGAATGAACAATAATCAGTGGTCATTAATATCCATCAGCATTAATGGTCTCAACTCCCCTATAAAAAGACACAGATTAGCAGAATGGATAAGAAGACAGAATCCTTCCTTCTGCTGCATACAAGAAACTCACCTCAACTTCAAAGACAGACGGTACCTAATAATTAAAGGTTGGGGAAAGATCTTCCAATCAAATGGACCCAACAAACAAGCAGGAGTAGCAATCCTAATATCCAACAAATTAGACTTTAAAATGAGTCAAAAGAGATGAAGGTCATTTCCTACTCATCACAAGAGAAATCCATCAGGATGAAGTCTCAATTCTGATATTTACGCCCCAAATACAAAGGCATCCACATTTGTAAAAGAAAC